CCTCTTAATCTAGGTCTGCCTTAGAATCATTGACTTAGGTATCTGGAATCTGGGACATTGGAGATGTCCAAACAATGGGCCTTTTTGTAATACACTTGTCCCTCCACATTTTCTGGGGTTAGGGGCACAGGACCACTGTGAATGTGGAAAAACTGCAAATAACAAACAAACAAACAAACAAACAACAACAAAAAAACCCCAAACCAACCAAACCCCCCCCAAAAAAACAACCATATGTTTTTACCTGAGAGAACATCTCTTTAGGAATCTCTAGGTCCTCCAGTGCAACTCTGTGGTCAACATCTGCCAGACACTGGCCATAGAATTACCCCAGAGGAGCTACAAATGCCTAGTGGAGTGTTCTCTCTAGGAATCTCTAGGTCTTTCAGTGCAACTTTTGGTTAAAGTTGACTATAGAGTTGAGTTGGAGGATCTAGATATTCCTAGAGATAGCATATTAATAAGATCTGTGAATAATAAAATCTGCAAAAGTCAAGCTACAAATGTAGAGGGACGAGTGTACTTTCTTCCTTGAGATGAGTTTGTCATCCTCAATCCCATCCTCATATCCATCTACACCAGGGGTAGGCAACCTAAGGCCCAGGGGCCGGATGTGGCCCCCCGAGGCCTTTGGACCAGCCCCAGGCCGGTCCTGTCGCCACCGCCGCTGCCGCCTGCCATGATGATATTGATTATTGTTATTATTACTTGTTCTTGGGGTTTTTTTGGCAAAATCTCCACCGGGGTTTTGCCATGGCTTTTCTGGGGATGAGAGAGTGTGCATGCATATTTTTTTTAATTTTTTTATTGTTAATTTTATTTATTTATTTATTTATTTTTGATGCTTCGTCCCCCCAATTGTCTGAGGGACAGCAACCCGGCCCCCGGCTCAAAAAGGTTGCCTACCCCTGATCTACACTGAATACTTAGCAGAAAGCAAGAAGATCCTTCTCTTGTGCTGCCTCTCTGGAGAAACAGCCTGCTTGCTAGCCAGTCAGCTTGCCTTGAGAGGTTTCTGCAACATGCTTCCCATGTGAAATCTGCAGGGTGTGTCAAAATTACATGAAAAGGTTGTGGGAGGTAAATCATCTTGCAAAGCTCCTGCCTCTCCTCCCTTTCCCACCACATTTCCAATCACAAACTGACATCAGAATTAGTCTTCTGTCCAGACTAGACAGAATGAGGCTGGAGCCAAACTTAAGGAAGCCCTAGTGTTGACCAAACTCTTCGTTAGCATAGATTGCAATCAGTGGATTTGCTTGCAAGTGAAACTTCTTACAGTGCTCAGAGCCAACTTTCAGTTTATCAAGTTAATATGTGTGTGCCAAGCAATTCTTACTGCAGGGCTGGATAATTTTTTTTAATTAACGTATTAACATAATGTATAATGAAACAGCTAATCTCTTTTTAAGCTTTTCCTTAGGAACAGAGCCAGGTCTAAACACTGGTTATGGTTTTCTTTTAATTGTTGTACTATAAATGGTTCAGTAAAAGTGGTTCAAGAAAAGGGGAAGTATTTGCTTTATAAAACACAGAGGATGCCTGCTTTGTGCTGGCAATAATTACAGCAACCTGTGACAAATTATGCAGATTATTTCAGAATTATGCTACTTGATAATACCTCTTTTCAAAGGACATCAACAGAGCTCATGCTTTGGAAAACACAATGTAAAATGATAAAAAACACATACTCTAAGTAAATGTGCAAGAAGAGGAGTGTGCAAACCCCACTCTCTTCATCATAGTTTCACTATGCATTCATTATGCATGAAGAGCAACCTTCTGAAGAGGACAGCCTCTCCGTGGAATATGGGAATCTATTTTTTAGAGGGTTCTGATAATGTGGCAAACTTCCATGCATAGAGGTGGCTCTCCCCTTGAGATTGCTGCTCCCCAAAAGCGAAGAATGATGACAGAGGACAGCAGGGCTAGCACATTCCTTTTCCTCTCTTTTACTTAAAATACATCATGTAGCACCTATGTATGGATAGTGGCAAGCATTGATTCAACTTTGGCTTATGGCAATCCTATGAATGAAAGACTTCCAAGTCAACCAAATGTGGTGCTAGAGAAGAGTTTTTCTCAGTCTCTTTGAGGTAGTTTTTCTCAGTCTCTTTGAGGCTAGATTTCAGAAGTGCCATATCTAGTCCTCAGTTTCTATCTCAGTGCATCATTCAGAATGAATAGAGGAATGGTATCATTTTGATGTAACATCTTGGTTGGAATAGAAAATAGTATTTGAAAATATTCCAACAAGTAATGAGGAGAATACTAGACACATGAGAATCTTTGCATTGGGACGTACTATGTGAAAGATGCATGCCCATCTCCCCCTCCCTCATATAAAATGGCATTTGCTCTATTAAAAATAAGCTTCCAGCACAGAAGACATTGTCTGTGCATAAAGAAAACTTTGTTCTATGCACAAAAAATCTACTTTTTTGGCCTGTGTAAATCCTGGATACCACATTGTGACTGGAAACTGCACAGTTTTTGAAGACTTTCTCACAATAAGAAAAAAATATTGTTCTTACCTATGAGAATGAAATATATGAAGATTTACATCCTTACATCCTGTGGGGAGGCATACTTGAGGGATCCACAACTTAGATCCAGCATCCAGTTTCCACAGTGACCAGGTAGTGCCTCAAAGAATACCTAAAAGGAGAGTGTAAGGCAACTGCCCAGCCTTCTGGTTGCCCCTCAGTAACTCTCATTCAGTGTCATTCCATGTCTGGGGTTCAATGTAGACATCATGGCTAAATAGACATTGATAGCTTTATCTGTAACAGAGCTATTGAAAGATCAGATTCTACTCAACATAGTTTTCCTCTAGAATATTCTATGAACAAATTAAGTTGTAGTGGTATACATCAATTTGTGAATATTTATGGTGGGAACCCTTAAAACCCCTTCCCTATAGGCAAGACCAATAGTAACTGGGGCACTTGTCCAAAGTTTGGGACATTTTGCTTACTGTGCCAGGATTCATTCTACAGCATTGCATCAAAATATTCTACAACATTGCTTCTTCTGGCTGTATAAGGCTTTTTGTCATTATGGTGACTGGTGTGTTTATATTCCTTTTCAAACCCCTGTTGTTGTTGCTGCTGCTGCTGCTGCTGCTGCTGCTGCTGCTACATATAAGCTATGACACAAGAGAAAAAGTGTGGCATATTTACGGTCTCAAACCACCCTATTTTTCATTTAAAAAAAGAAACTATGCCAGTGGAGCTGTTTGTGGACTAAATTGTGCCTTACATTTGCACAATCTCCATAGTAAATAAAATTACATATGAATCTTCTGAACATGAATCTTGAAAGATGCATCATGGAAAGTCACAGGCTTAGCATGATGACTTAGGACGTTATCACACGTGGGCCAGAAAGCGATAATAAAGTGGAAATGAGGCATTCCGAAAATAAACGGAAAATAAACCTTAATTCCGCAAACATAATTACCTTGATTGCGAATTTACAGTAAGCGCATTTAATGTTCACACATTAAAGTGAAAAAAGCCCATAAATGTACTAGAAATGAGCTTCTTGCACATGCGCAGATAGAGGAATGCTCACTGGAATCATGGGAACAGCAGGGAAATGCTCCCAAATGCGCATTTGCTTTCCACATTACAGTAAATGCGAAATTACCTTAATTGCGCATTTGCATTTCCTCCAAACAACCGAATTTCAAAAGATCGCGGTTAACACCAGTTTCTGTCCACTTTCTGTCCAGTTTCTGTGCGATGTCGTGTGAAAACACAGGGCACTAATCCAGTTTCTGTTTGGGTTTTGTGTGGATTAACCAGCAGATTTGCCCCTGTGTGATAACGTCCTTAGAAGTTGTTGTTCTTGTTAACTGCTATCAAGTTAACTTTGATTTATGGAGACCCCATGAAAGAGAGACCCCCCAAGTCATCCTGTTATCAATAGCCCTGCTCAGGTCTTGCAGACTCAAGATTGTAGCTGCCTACAATCTACAGTCTATCTATCTGTAATGTGGTCTTCCTCTTTTCTTGTTGCATTCTAACTTACCAAGCATAATTTTCTTTTCTAGGGAGTCATGGCTTCTCATGATATGTCCAAAGTACAACAGTTTAGTCATTTTGGCTTCTAGGGAGAATTCAAACTTGATTTGCTCTCTTTTGTTGTTGTGTGCTTTCAAATTGTTTCCAACTTATGGCGACTCTAAGATGAACCTATCATGGGGTTTTCTTGATAAGATTTGTTCATAGGAGGTTTGCCATTGCCTTCCCCTGAGGCTGAGAGCATGTGACTTGCCCAAGGTCACCCAGTGGGTTTCATGGCTGAGCTAGGAATTGAACCTTGGACTCCAGAGTCACAGTCCAATACTCAAACCACTACACCACGTTGCTCTCTAGGACTCATTCATTTGTATTTTTAGCAGTCCACAGTATCCACAGAACTCTTCTCTAGCACCACATTTGGTTGACTTGGAGGTCTTTCATTCATAGGATTGCCATAAGCCAAAGTTGAATCAGGCTACATCTGCACTGCAGAAATAATGCAGCTTGACACCACTTTGGCAGCATTTGCACCACAGAAATAATCAGGTCTGACACCACTTTCACTGTCATGGCTCAATCCTATGGAATCCTGGGATTTGTAGTTTATTGTGGCACCAGAGCTATCTGACAGAGAAGGCTAAATATCTCACAAAATTATAAATCTTAGAATCGCAAAGCATTGAGTCATAGGAGTTAAAGTGGTGTTAAACTGCGTTATTTCTGCAGTGCAGATGCAGCCTTGATGGCAGTCAACAACAAGAAGGATGTTAGACTTAATCCCATAGAAATCAATGGGCATGATAGTTTAAGACCTATCAATTTCAGTGGGACTAATTTATGATTATTGTAGCTTTGGTCCAACTTCTGAGTAGAAATTGCTAGAGCCAATAAAGCAGGAATTGAACAAAGAGACTCTGTAGATAGTACAGCAGCAATGCCTGAGTTTGAATGGTTTTGAACTATGTTTTGGGAGGCAAAATTGTAGCAAAAATCAATTGGAAATAACATTTTGTTTGCATATGAGAGCAAATTAAAACAACAACCAGTTAGTGATATAAACTCTCCTTAACAGTTACATCATAAAATAGCAGTTAAGAGATATTATCATGCTGATGTGTGCCACACTGAACAGGAAAACCCGAAGCCAACTATCATTATTTAAGAAGTCCTGTGCAACTGTTTCTTTTCATGAGATACAGCAGGCCTTAGTGGATAAGAAGGATGGGATGGGCACAGTGATATGGTGTTTTCTCTTCTGAGCTTTCAGTTTTTATTATAATCAGGCTGGCAATGAGGGGAAAACATTTAGTTCTCATGGAAGGGCATTCCAGAGGGTGGGAGCAGCCCCTATGAAGGCTCTCTTTTGTGTCCTTAACAAGTGATCCTGTGATGGTAGCGGGACCAAATAGATCTAAGAACTCTTGCAGGCTGGTATGGGAAGATGCAGTCTTTCAGATAGTTTGTGAGGCACAATAACTTGGGAATATGTGTAACTGCATTGAATAAAAATGTAATGCTGTATATATTTACAGAAAACATAGTAAAATATGCATTTGTAGTCATGTACATGCCTGGTCTTCTGATCTTGACACTTCAAAGTAAGAACCTTTTTCTTTCTTATATTCAGTTTTATTTCTTTATATACAGTTAATATTCATGGTCAGATGTTGCAGTGAGCAACATCAGCCAAGTGAGCCTTTGAAAGCCCACATGAACCTAGTTATTGATGGTGTTCTTGTTTGCCACAGCTTCATCACTTACTGCTCTCCGAGTGGTAATTTGAGTGATCCTGGACTTTGGTCCTGTGCTGCTAGATATGTTAATTTAAAGAGGCATGGTGGAGGAAGAATGGTAAAATATTAAGAATGCATATCGGGGCTAATGGTGCTATCATCAGTCAATACCATAGCTTCCAACTGTCCCAATTTGACAGGGACATCTATCATCCTCTATCATCCCACTGCAAGTAGACCAGTGGTGGTGGTGGCAGGTAAGGTGGCAATGGCAGCTCCACTGCATGGTGAGGGCAGGGGCAGGTGTCTGAACCATGGACCAGTAGGTGCCTGGGCAGAAATGGGCCAGATCCATAGGAAAGATAGGACTGGGTTAACCCATCATATTCTGCCTGTGCATCCAGTGCATGAGTCAACAAGTTTAGATGTCATATTGGTTTTCAATGTCTTAGGTATTTTCTGAGCCTTGCTCAGAATGACTTTCTCTTTCTTTGTAAACTGAGCTGACACTTAAGAAGAAAAACAAGTGGTGCAACTTTACCTGTCCTTTTCCACAGAGATGTGGAGAAAGATTAAACTGCAACATCTAAAATAGATCTTGCAGGTGGAATCTAAGGGTCTAATTGCACTTTCACATTAAAAGCTGATATTTATAAAAGGAAAAATTTATCTGGTATGATGATATTTGAATAAGAAAATGTTACCATGAAAGTGATGTCCTTTTCAGTTCTTACAAAGAAAGTAATTTGGTGAAAAGTTTCCTATTTGGTAAAATCACATTCACTAATGGTTTTCATGAAAAAAACAAAACACCAAACCAACTAAATTTGTGATCTTATATGAGAAAGTTTTTGGAAGACAACCAAAATAAAATATGAAATGAAGAGGGAAAGATTTTAGAGTAATATTTTTCATCACAAAAATAGTTATGAAAATTGGACTTAAATAGAGCATTCGCACAGGAATGTCTTCTTTCAAGAAGATTCTCCATTTCCTAGCTTTCAGCCATAGAAAGAGGCAAGTCTAAAATAAGATCAAACTAGCTTGATTTCACAATCAATGATACAATATATTACATTTGGTTTCTTATATTCCTTATCACACACACAAACAAACATGTGCTGGTCTCCTTTTCACTGCCTTTCCTGCTTTCATCTTCCCTTAGCCTTCAGAACAACCTCACAGAACAAAAATAAAAGTCTATCAGTGGCAACCATGTAGCAACCATATATGAGCTATTTTGGTTTGATAGAAGATTTAATAAGGAAGCTCTCAGAATTAATTTCCTTTCAGAGAGAAAAAAAATGCAGCACATAACGTTCATTTTCCTATAACTTTATTAAGAAAGTTGCTTTCAGAATATTAGGAAGGGTACTTTTCCCACAGCTGTTTGACACCACTAGTTTGAATTAGCATATTCTGAAGGACAAGCTACAGCCATTTTGTCATGATGGCAAGATATATTTTCCGATAGAAGCCACCACCACAACACTATAGTTTGCTTTTTCCAAATTGACAGACTCCTCTTTAATAAGATTGTCCTAAAATATTTTACTGCCTGTACATTCCATGAATGTACACTTAAATCTGAACTTTACTTTCATGACAACAGCACCCTATGACTTTGGGTTGTAAACCAGTTGGGGTACAGGAAAACTGTGTGACATTTCTGAACCCCAATATGTCACCACTTGTTACCAAAAACTGACTCTCTCTCAGCATCTGCTGCCTCAGGCAGCTCCTCACTCTGCCTAATTTTAGGATTGGCTCTGCTTCTTCACCATGATAACTCAAATCAACATCATTTGCTTATCAAGCCTGCTCTGTACATAGGCATATAATGAAAAGACACTGGTTCTTGACTATCACAGAAACTCCTGTCCAAATCCATGCACTGCTAGCCTCTCAGCTTTTGTGCAAACGGTGCCAGCTGAAGAGGAAAACAAGGGAAGCCCACATAGGACACTGATCTCTTGTGTCATTATATGTTTTACATTACAGAGGACAGGTATTTATTTGAAAAGCTTTCCAGTTCAACCCATTTTAAAGATTAAAAACAACAACTTAAGAAGCAAGATGACAGACATTGAATTTTCCCATACAAAGCACCAGGACAGTAGAGTGAGGAAACACACAGGTCAGTTCCCAATTAGGAGAAGATATATAATATTTTGCTGAATATTAACAGTAACCAAAACTAAAATGCAAAATATACATTGGTGATAGGTTAACTAGAAGGCACAAGAAAAATCACTATTGCTTTAAAAGATTACTAGCTTTTACAAAAGGCAAAAATAGTAAAACAAACAAACAAACAAACAAATATGAAGGGCAAACAAAATTACATGTTTGAGTTGAAAAAACCTGCAGGTCTGCATCTTATGTTTTTGGATGCTACCGTGAGAATGTTTTTCTGCAGGTGAAAAGCTGAGTCCACATTTCCTACTCTTTAAAAAAAGGAGGGAGGCGAAAATGGAGAGAAGAGGTCAAGGATAAACAAGGACAAAGTCTATAAAAGAAGGCCATAAAATTGCAGTTCTTTTTTGTTGCCACAATGTCTTCCCTTGAGATCTGTCAGACCCCATTCAGTAAAGCCAAAAAGTCCCTATTTTGGCAGAGTTTAGTGATCTTCCCAGGAAAATCTCATCTTGTTAGGTTTAGAAATAAATTTAGCTGGAACAGATAAAGATGTCAATATAAACTAATATAGATCACTTTACCTTATAACCAAAAACTTCACTGAGATATTAATATTTATTAAAACTAGGAAATGCTTAGTCAAATAGATATGCATTTTAACAGATGTTAAAAATAATCAAGGGTGGTGCCTGTCATATTGCACAACAGAGAGAAAAGAGACGGGACATCACAACTGGCCTGTTGGTTACTGCTATATGTCCATCTTATGCAGAGTATCAGAAAGTCTTTCTTTCAGAAAAATCTGTTTGTCCTGCCTATGTAAATAGGATTTATAAAGAAATAAGACAAAGATCTCACCAAGGCTCTCTCTACAAAAGGAAACCCAGCCTTTTAGCACTAGCCCTGGAATTTCTCACCAGTCAAGGAAGATTATGTCTTAATATGAATAAAGTATTTTCTCTTTTATTTTAAATAACATCCCAAGAAAACAGAAGATGGAAGGGGCAGATGTTATAGGATTTATGAAAACCCCACAGGAAAACATAAGGTTCAGTCTGTAAAATTTCCAGTACTCTAAATATTGCGAAAGAAAAAGTGGTTAATGTTTTGAAGTTTATAATAATCCCATCACAAAATATAAGATTCATTCACAGAACTATACACTGTTTTGGTCCATTATCCTATTAAAATATCTTCATTTGCCTTTTGTTGAAATGATTAGGTTCTTTTAACATTCTGTATTTTTATAAAATATTCAAGCTAATTTACAAGCATAAAAAGTTCCAGATAGAAAATTAGAAGTATAAAACACAATGAAAATATAAAATGCAATTACAATAAAATCAATTAATACATCCATAAAACATCTTCATACTGTTTTCATTGTTGTAGAGAACATTGGCAAAAAGGTTCTCATTTGTTGTCTCCTCTTCCAGCTCTGTAAATTGGTTCTGAATTAAAGGTTACTGCCTGCAG